CAGAAGCCGACTCATGTGGGCACAGGAGCGGGGCGGGGGCAGACAGTTCGAGACCACACAGTGGGAAGATGAGCATCCAGGCGCAGCGGGGTTCTGCTGTTCCGAGGTGCTGTGGCATACTGCCAGGCCACTGACAGCCCCTTCTTGGGCATCTGCATCCCTACCCGCGAGTGGGCACACCCCAGCAGCCCTTTGAGTGCTATGAGGGTTTAGGATGCCCGAGGGAGCATCCCCTGAGCCATGGCTGCCATGACACTGAAGTAGGGTGCTGCCCGACACCCTAGAGACCTCGGGGATGGAAACATCCCCAAGTAAACAAAGACGCTCTGCTCAGGTTGCCATGCCCTGCGCCCTCGCAGCCTCGAGGCCCTCTGTTTGCTGCCCATCCGGGCTGGCCCGCACCCAGCTGGTCCCCTCAGCAGCTCGCAACGTGATCATCACCCAAAAACAGGCTGCTATCTGAACACCACCCATGGTCTCCTGTTGCAAGCACGCTAACTGCCTTTGCAAGCCTCTCACACCTGTTGGAACCTGCACCCTCGGTCCCTACGGAGACCCCGGGGGAGGCAGCTGCAGAAGCACAGGGAGGTTCCATGATCGAGAATGCTAGCAGGGGGCAGAGCAGAATGAGCTCCTCAGACCCAATTCAGGGGAGGCCTTCCCATGTCCTGCCGAGGCAGGTGCAGAGCAGGGGGTGCGAGGAAGCCCCCTGCACCAGGGCAGGGCAGGGCAGAGAAAGGGTCAGCACCCTGGCAGCTGCCGCCATCATCCACCGTGGCCAGTACCAGGACAGACCCCACCAGCTGGACCCCTTCCCACCCTCTCCTTTCGCTACCCGGATGTGCCTATCTTCTCTGGCCAGCTCGCAGCTCCCCCATGCTCCAGAGGACGCTCTGGGGGGTCAGGGAGCCAGACAGGTGACTTCTCCATGAGTGAAGGTCATGTTCCCTTTTCTGGGACAGTAAGCCTGGACTCACCAAGAGTTCATCGAAGTCAGAGCTTGATTCTAGAAAACATGCCCTCTATCCCCAAATTACCCCATTGACAGAAATGGTAAAGAATTAAAGGGTCTTTGGTGGCAGGCTAGGGAGTAACCCTGAACCTCTGGGGAATGAAATCCGAGCTTGGGGATGCCCGTGCTGAGCCTGGGAGTGCCAGCTGGGTCTTGGGCAACAACTGTCCTTTTCAGATGATTTTTTGGGTCAGGATGATTTGTCTTCTGTCGCATCTAATTCAGATGGAATCACGCAGGGGAACCGGGCACCAGTCCCCTGCCTGTGGGAAGCTCCTGAGCGCTGTCCGCTCCACTCCCAGCCAAAGGACAGTGGCCCCTGCAGAACACAATGGTCTGGGCCTCCCGCCGAGTCATGGACTTCCCACGTGCCCTCCTTGGACCTGGAGGTAATGCTTCCTCCTCATTTTCACTGGATTTTTAATTGCAAAAGAGAAGTATGGACCACGAAGAAAATTTGGGAAAGCCACAGAAAGTATAAAGATGCAGATATGGGAAAACTCTTTCTCTTTTTTCCGCTCAAGAGGGAAACCCCTGCTGACATCTGGACATGGGTCCTTCCGATTTTCTTCCTCTACAGTGCTCGCAGCCTCAAGATCACCCAGGATGGGCAATTGTGGTCCATTGTTTTTGGAGTTAAAATTGGTTTGCTGGAGCTTGGTGCCTCACATTAAGATCTCCTCACACGCCGTTGGCTAGAATGAGCCCCCTGCTCTCCCGACCTGCGAGAAACTTAGGAAGGACGTGGACTCTGTCTATTCCTGCTGGGCCCACGGAGGGCGGGTGGAAAGCCCTTGGTCACTGAATGAGGGACATCATGGCTGGCTGACTTCTGTCACTCCCCTCCACATTGGGGCAGCCTCCAACTTTCTGTCGTACTGTCTGCAGCATCTTTGTGGCGACGTCCTTGTCCACACTCGGGTTAGGTGAAGAGATGTGTCCTGTTCTAGAGACCCAGGGCTGTGCCAACCAGAGTAGGCGACTGGGGCTCAGGTCCTAGATCTGCCACACTCTCTCCTTGACCCCGGACAGTTGCTTTTCCTTCTCTGGGCCTTGGCTTCCCCTCTGGGTACATGAGTGGGTTTGGACGGCAGCATCCTTCTAGGTCCCTTCCAGCTCTGGGATCCTAACCAGGCAGCCATGACCACAAGACAGCTGAGCCAGCTCCATGCCCCTCCCCCAGGCTCTCCACCCGGCCCTGCCCCCTGTTATGAGTTATTATTCCCTCCTCCAAATCCAAATGTTGAAGTTCTAACTGCTAGGACCTCAGAACGTGACTGTATTTGGAGGGGGGACTTTACGGAGTAATCAAGGTAAAACAAGGCCAGGCAGGTGGTCCTAGTCTAATATGAATGGTGTCCTTACAAGCAAAGGAAATTTGGACACACATACATAAGGAAAGCCCTGTGGATACAGAGAGAAGACGGCCATCTACAAGTCAAGGAGGAAAGCCGCAGCAGGAACCAACCCTGCCCGCACCTTGAACTTGGACTTCCAGGACCTGGCACCCAGCGGGGGCAGAGCCGGCCTTGGAGCCCCTTCTAGCTCAGGTCCCCTTGTCTGTCACCTCGCCCATCGTGACTTCCAGCACTCTCATGTTATGAGGCCAACACCATATACTGTGGCTCACCTACTGTGCCCCATATACGTGGGCCGGGGCTGCTGGCAAAGTTAAGGGCATTCCCTCCACACACTGGGGAAAATGAGACACAGGGCACCCATAGCAAGTGCACTGGGTTTGGATCTAGGCCTGACACAGAACGCCACCTCTGACAACTTCCCCAGCTACCTCAAAATCAATGAGTCACAAAACAAGCAGGCAAATACATGGGGCCCAGAGACCACACCAAAGCCATCCCCAAGGTGCCCTGGGTCACCTGACTGAAAGAAGATAAGCCTGCAGCTTGGTGGCATGAGGGAGAGGGGAGCCTCCGACCTGGGGAGGTTGTGCAGAATGTCTCAAGCTTGGACCCAAGGGCCCATCTGGGCAGCCGGACACTGGACCAGCTGATGTCCCCCCACACCAGCTGACACCAAGCTCTGGGACGATGGGCGTCTTCTTGGCAGGAGAGCATCAGGAGACCTGCCCTCATTGATGATAGAGTCCCCTGACCTGTTGGACATACACAATGGCGAGATGTGAAAGCCAGGTGCCAGGCACAGGGCCACACTCTCCCCTGCTGTGGGGGGGCCTAGGGACACATCTGGGGCACAAGCCACAGGCGGACAGGGAGCAGGCTCACTGGCAGTTCTGAAGGGCTGACTGATGCAGGTAGACTGAGGGGAGCAGGACCCCCGGCAGTGACCATCACAAGCTACTGAGGACCTACTATGTAGGCAGTTTCCCACTCGAATCTCATCCTCTCCAGGCAAAAGGCATAGTGCTGCTTTTGCACGTCAGGAAGCCGAACTCGGGAAGATGCCACCATTTGTCAAGACAATTTGCCACCAGACAGATGTATGGGTCAAACCCCAGACCCCTTGCTCGTTCGAATCATGACCCCACACCAACAGACACCAGTGCCCACACAGCCCTTCTCCCAGGACAACCACAAATGCCAGTGCTCCTTCCAGGGCTCCCCCTGATTACAAGGGGGACTGGAGGTAACAATTATGATCACAGAAAACCTAGAATTACCCTGTGTGCACCCTGCCATTATCCCCACCTGACATTAGATGAACGTGTCTGGAGTTTCTGCCAGGTCTCGGGGTGTCCCGCTCCCTGGCCTCCTCCAGATAACAGGTTGGCCATTTCAGAAATCCTCTAGAGATTCTGCTTCTCGCTGCCTGCCATTTGCTCTCAGCCACTCTCCCAACACCCACTGCCAGTGTGGTCCCTCCTTCCTGGGTTGGAGGGGGAGGGGATGATGTCCCTGGGAGATGGGTCCCTGGAAACTGGAAACAGCCCTCCCAAACCACGAGCAGGGAGCAAGCACTCACCAAATGAACACTAACCACCCACCGCACCGCCCCCCAGTCCGATTTTTCCTCCAGCTTGTCCAGGCTTTTTTCTGCACCGTGGCCAAGGGCCATACTGCAGTCTGTGGCCAGACACGGAGGAAAAAATCACAGGAGTCAGGGAGTACCAGGTTCGAATCCCCACCCCCCTGCGTGACCTGGGCAGGTGACTCAAGCTTGGTGAGCCTAAGTCGCACCCTGAAAAATGGGGTGACAGTCCCTCCCTGCCTGGAAATGTACGGACCAACCCTCAGCTCAGTGTGGGGCCACAGGAGACTCTCAAAACCGGGTTCCTCCGTCCGCGTATCGGACTCTTCCTGCCAAGGCCTCCCTGCTGTTGGTCTCAGTTTCCCCAAGCGCAATAGGCGCGGCTGGCTGGTGACGATGTGGGATTTTCCAGGGCCCGCACAGAGGCGGTCAGATCCGGTGCGTGCGGCGGGAGGCAGCCGCTTGGATGCGCGGGGAGGGGGGCGCAGTGAGATGCTGTCTGGAGGAAAATGGGGCGGGCCGCACACACCTGCGGGCTCTGCGCCCCCAAATCTGCAGCGGGCGAGCCCAGGGCGCCGGGGATCCGCCGGACTCCCCCAAACCCCCGGCTCAGGCTGAGCGAGCACCGTGCAAGGGCGGCGGCCCCTGCCGCAAAGACCCCCGTGTGACCACACCTCTCTATAGCAGGGCCTGCGGTGGCCCTGAGCCCCTCGCCCCTACCGGTCGCTTTCTGCAACCTATAGACACCCGGGACCCTGGAGAAGCAAAAAAGTGGCGCCTTCCAGACAGCCCGGCGCAGCCAGCCTGGCAGGCGCGGGGGAAGCGGGTCCCTAGACCGCCCTGCAGAGCCGCACGCGCCCCGGGCGCAGGGGCAGGGACCTGCGGACAGGCCCTAGGGTTTGCAAGACCCTGCGTTGAAAGTTGGGTGGATCACTGGCTGATTTCGCCTGTGCTGCAGGTGCAGCCCCAGAATGCCTTCACAGCCCTTGCTGCGCCCAGATCCAGCTCGGGGACGCGCCAGTCCCTCGGTCCCCACACTCACCTGCACTCATCTCAGCGGCAGTTGGGAGGCGGGCGGTCCGGCGCTGCGGCAGCCAGACGCTCCTGCCCGCAGGTGCAGCGCCCGCGCGATCGCCCGCCCGCCCGCCCGCGGGTCCGCCGGCCTAGGGTAAGGTCCGCGCCCGCCCGCAGCGCCGCCGCAGCCCCCCGGCGCGCCGGCCCCGCCCCGCCGGCCCCGCCCCCTCCCCCTCCGACCCCGCCCCTGCGAGCCGCTTCGCTCCACCCCGCCCTCGCCGCGATGCGGGCGGGACGCACCCTGGGAAGTGTAGGCACAGCGCCCCCGCCGCTCTGCCTTCGCGGCAGAGCCGCCGCATGGACTAACTACAAGTCCCGGCAGGCAGTGCGCTGAGCGCACGCGCAGGCAGGCAACGCTGCTGCGGCCTCCCGCAGTCTCTGGAAGGTCTCTGTGGGACTGTCTTCTTGTCCTGGCTGGCGTCCTGGCTGGCTAGCTGGCGGCGGCGGTGACGGCTCTCGGGAGCCCGGGAGTGGCGCGAAGGGAGGCCCAGGGACAGACGCTTAGAGCAGCTCCTCTTGTTGTGGAGCTGCAGGGGGCCTGAAGACCTGGGCCAAACTCCCCCCTTCTAGTTTACAGACGGGGGAACTGAGGCTGGTCGGGGCGCGCGGGCTGGGATTCTGGCTCCGGGCCCCTGACTTCAGGCTTAGAACAGCACGCCGCCGACTCCCGGCGCCCTGCACTGGCTGGCGCCCGAGGAGGGGGTGCGCCCCACCCCAAGGTAGTCCTGGGGCCCCAGCCCCCCCCCCCCACTGTCACCGACTGACCTCTCTGACGTCAGGCGCCTAGCACAGGGTGGGGTCCTGGTACAGGAGAGGGAAAGACTAGGGTTGGGATTTAGGAAATCTGGGGGAGCAGGCTGAACCCGCCTGGTAGTCACAAAAGGGGACTTTGGGGTGCAGTCTGGACTGGGGGAGCATTCAGGAGGCAGAGTCTCGGAACCTGGCCCGGCGGGGCGAGGTGGCGGGAGGACGTTTGATTTGGGCCAAGGCTTTTGAGAGATGCTGACAAGAGGAGGGCTGACTGCAGGAAATGGGGACTTGAATGGATTACGGAAGCAGAAGCAGATGTTCTAACCTGGCCCTCACCACCGTCCACCTACCCCAGACAGGGGCTGCGGGAACAGGCGCAGTCCATCAGAATCAGCCACAGGCCAGTAAGTCCCAGTCAGTCCCTGCCCCACGCACCCCGCCGGCTCTAATCCTTGCCCCTTGGGCCTTTTTCCCAGGACACAAGTGCCCTGTGATGGAAGGAGCACTAGAAAACATCAGATATCTCCCTCCGACCCAGCTTCCCCTCTTCAGTGCGACCTTGAGCAAGACCCTTCCCTTATGTGGGCATCAGGACCACGAAGCCGAGTGAAGGAGCCACTGTTGGCTGGGAGCTCCACATCTGGGTCTTGGCCACGGCAGCAGCAGGCTGGCAGGGGTGCAGGCCCCAGGGAGCCGGACCACCTGGTGGGGAGTCTGGCTTCACCTGCTGGTGCAAGATGCCTGATCTACCTCCGTGTTCATCACCCATCTAGACAGAGTTCCTGCCTTTTAGGGTGGGTATGAGGATTACACTGGGTAACCCGTGCCCTGCACTGCTCTGAGTAGAGATCAGTAAACGGGTTTGACATTATCCTGCCTTTATTAGTAGGATTCTTAGCCTCGCACTCGGCCTGGTCAGGGTGGGCACTCCACAAACACCTGTTGAATGAAGGGAGAGAGGACGGAAGAAGGAGAGACGGTGGGAGGGTGCCCGCTGGCAGTCACCCCCCTCAGGGAGCTCTCTGCTGAGCCCCCGAGCCCCCGAGTCCTGCTTCCACCCTGGCAGAAGCATCAGCACCTGCACCCTCCCCCATCCCGGGTGTCTCCAAAGGCTCCTAAGAACCTTGTCAGGATGGCAAGGAGGCCCATCATGCTAATGGCCATGGGAAAAACCAGGGTGTGGATGGGCACTTACTCCATCCCCTCTGACTCACATCCCCATGAGTCAGAGGATGGACGTAGGTGGCCTGGTTCCTGGCTGGTCCCAGGTCTCAGCCTGTTATGTGGCTGTCCCTTACCTCCCCATCGAGCTGGCCTTGCCTCTCCAAGCAGCCACTGTAAGAGCAGCGACGGGCGAGTCCCAGCAGTTCCCAACCTGGAAGGACCTCGGTCTTGTGATTCTGGCACATTCTTTCACAAGGACAGAACCTAAGGCTCAGGGAGGTCCTGCCCAGAGTCACCCAGCAAACCAGCAGTATGGGGAGGGGGCTTGACCTAGGCCCCGTAGCTGTGCCACCAACCCTCTGCTCTCTCGATGGGTCCCTGAGCCAGGGGCGCTCTCGCTGGGGCAGGTCTGCTAGTGTGTCCTCTCCTGCGTAGAGCCCACTGACACTGGTTTACCCAGACTTTGGTTCTCCCCACTGGCGCTGTGCCCAGGTGTGACCTCGGGCCATTTGCTTTGCTCTCTGTGCTTCATTTTTCTTATCCTTCAAAGCACTGCCTCAACCCCAGTAGGACTTGTTAAAGGATAACGGAGTGATAGAAACACCTGGCAAAAAGCCAGGGCTCCATAAATGATGGTCATTATCATTATTGATACGTTATTAAATCAGACCTGAAAGAGGTGGGTGCCATCACTTCCCCCAGAGACTGTTTTCTCTTTTTATGTGTATTTCTTACATCCATAAATCCATCATCCATCCATCCATCTGGCCTGTGTCTACACTTTTTAAAAGATTTTATTCCTTTGAGAGAGAGCATGAAGAGTAGGGGGAGAGGGAGAAGCAGACTCCCTGCTGAGCCAGGAGCCTGATGTGGAGCTCGATCCTAGGACACAGAGATCATGACCTGAGCTGAAGGCAGACGCTTAAACATCTCAGCCACTTGGTGTCCTGTCCATCCACATTTATTGGACCCCTTTAGTGTACCAGGCACCGTTCCAGTGAAAAAAACAAGAATTTGTTTCTCAAGTCACATGACTCACTGTAAAAAAGGCCACAGCCCGAGGCCCAAGGTTGGGGGGGGGTGTCAGAGGGCCTTCAGGGGGCTCCATGACACACAGAGGTCCCAGACAGACTAACAGTCAAACCAAGACTGTGTGATCTGTATTAAAAGCGTGTACATTCAGAGGGACAGCTGGGCCTGGGTGGGTGTGGATGCAGAAAGAGCACTAAGGCGATGGGAGCTTGCCCTCCTCCTGCCCTCCTCCTGCCAGGCTTACACCTCCTGTAGACAGAGGGACACCCTCATGCCCCCGTCCCCCGGCAGGCAATGTAGGGGTCTCCTTGGGGGCCCCTCCCACCTCAACATTTCATGGGGGGGATGCCTTCAAACCCCTCACAGGAGGGCACCCCAGGCAGTGGCCCTGCTGTCCGCCCCCACCCCCGTCATCCAGCTCCATGCCCACTTTTGCCACGGACACCTTTGTCCCATCAGTCCCACCTAATACACGGTCCATTCAGTTTAATCCTTCCACGGCCCTTGAAGCAGGGCTGTGGTCTTCTACCCTAGAGGCTTGGGGAGGGGACAGAGCCTGGCCAGGCCTCACTCGGGCAGCGTGTAAAGGGCTGAGCTTTCCAAGGGCCCTATAGACTAGGTCAGAACACTGGCCTCTGTCCCTCCTGAATGGGCCTTGGGTGCTGCTGCGGCCACCTTGGGGTCAGGAGGCTCTTGAGTGTGGACACTGCTTTCTGGTGGTGCTGGAAAGAAAACGGCAATGTATCTGGGCCAAGATGATGGGGCCGGGCAGTTCCAGGTTGCACGGGAGTCCGGGAGGGGACTGTAAGTGCCCCCGGGGGAAAGACTCTCTCCTTTTCATGACAAATGTTCCTGGGACAAGTGCAAACACCTGTCACTGTTCTGCAAGCCTACAAACTGCTTCAAAGTGAGGGTCATTTGTCCTGAGAAAGTGTATTGCCCTTCTGCAGAGCACCAGGGCCTTGGGTGCTCAACAGAATGTTGAGCGGTGGGGCGGGCCTGGGCATGGCTGGGTGGCAGTGCTGACCTCAGCAGTCTTCGTCACGTAGAGATTTGGGTTGGGTTTCTAAGGTCAGCCCAGGAGGACCTGGGAGGGAGGGGGCCAGCGACCCATGGGCCAGGGGCCTACTTTTATGGAGAAGAGCCCGGATGGAGGGGTTCTGTCTTACCCCCAGGGGGGCCGGCCTCCTATTCAGGTGCCAGGAGCCAAGAGTCAGTGGAAACTGCTCCCGAGAATACCCAGGGCCAAGCCAGATGAGGCGAGCAGTCAGGACCTGGGACAGCTCAGTGCCAGCAGACCCATCATCATCCTCATTTTGTAGACAGGGAAACAGAAGAGCTGGGATGCATACCTAGGCCCTTTTGAAGAGGCTGTGGGCTTTGGCACAGTGCCCCCAGGTCTGGCATCACTGCCAAGAGGCATTGGGGAGGCCAAGTAACAAGGCTGAGCACCTTGGGCCAAGGATGGGGTGCATGGCCCAGAGGGACAGAACCCCCGGATCCAAGCCACGCCAGGCCCACTGCCCCCCTGGGCTGTTGGAAAGTCTCCTACCCTCACCTGGATAGCACAGCCTCACCCTCTGGACTTCAGTGGAAATTTCCTCCTTGGAGGAGCCCCCTGACTAAGCCAGAGGCCACCTCTGCTCCCCATGGCCTTGCCAGTCACGGCCACATCACTCCCTGGTCTTGCCATCTGGTTTCTCTCTGACTAGGTCATCATGGGGTCTGCAGAGAAACCCAGGGTGTCCTGAGCATCTCAAGTTCTACAGAACATCCCGGGGGCTCCAGCACACGGTGAATAGCCACTGACCTATGGAATCAACATGCTCCCCACTGTGGTCTCCTTGGCCACCTCTCACTCAATATATGCAAGGGAAAAGAGGTCATACTCCCCTGAGCCCCTTCCCAACATTCCGACCTCGCCCTGGGTCTACTCAGGCTTCCCACAACTTGCTTCCACAGAGAGCAGCACGGGGACGCTGAGCTCCCCTGGGGCCTGGTCTAGAAAGGTGTTGCCCTGAGAACCCAACTTTGCAGAACCCCCCTAGTTGAAGTCACCCAGCTGGTGGAAACGGACCGAGTCCAGTGG